TACCTACCTACCCATCTATTTTCTATGTATCTATCTATCTGTTGATCTAGCTATCTATCTCTCTCTTTCTCTCTTTCTCTCTTTCATCTCATTACCTATCTACCTATCTACCTATCTACCTATCGACCTATCTATCTGTCTATCTATCTATCTATCTATCTATCTATCTATCTATCTATCTATCTATCTCTCCATCTATCGATCTATTGTTGTAGTTGTAGTTGTAGTTGTTGTGGTTGGTGTTGTTGTTGTTGTTGCTGTTGCTGTTGCTGTTGTCGTCGAAGTTAGGGTAGTTAAGTTAGTGAAGTTAGTTAAGTTAGTCAAGTTAGTTAAGTTAATCAGTGTCTACTTTTTCGACATCTTCACGTCAAAAAAGGCTCAAAACCCTCAGTTTTTTACACTTTTGACTTCGAAATGTGCTTCGCGCCACAACGGCGTGCACTTTTTTGACACGTTTTCGACATCTGAACCTCCAAAAGTGGTCCGTCGTTTTTAACAGACCGTGCAGTTTTTCCGAACCACTTTTGACTTGGAAATGTGCTTCGCGCCACAACGGCGTGCACTTTTTCGACATCGCAACTTCCAAAAGTGGTCCGAATGGTGTGCTTTGTACATTTTGACTTCGAAATGTGCTTCGCGCCACAACGGCATGCACTTTTTCGACATCTCAACTTCCAAAAGTGGTCCGAACCTGGTGTGTTTTGTACATTTTGACTTGGAAATGTGCTTCGCGCCACAACGGCGTGCACTTTTTCGACATCTCAACTTCCGAAAGTGGTCCGAACCTGGTGTGTTTTGTACATTTTGACTTGGAAATGTGCTTCGCGCCACAACGGCGTGCACTTTTTCGACATCGCAACTTCCAAAAGTGGTCCGAGAATGGAGTGTTTTGTACATTTTGACTTGGAAATGTGCTTCGCGCCACAACGGCGTGCAATTTTTCATCGCTCCTGTGGCCAGCTGGGTCCGCACCCGCCGCTTTAGCGAGCCTACTTTTCGACCCTCCGGAGCCACAAATCATTGGAAAAAACACAGTGTTTCGCGACTTTCCTACCTTTTCGCGCATCTGTATCTTCTGTCCTCTTACTCTTTCTCTTCTGATCTTCTCTCTTCTAATCTTCCTCTTCTCTCTGCCTCTGCCCTGCTCTGCTTTTCATCTGTCCATATTGTCGGAAGTTTGACTTCTAAACTTCCTTCGATAATAACACAAGCAAAGCAATAAGGTGCCAAAGCAATCCAGCCAGCGCTCCAGTAACTTAAATAAACATAAACAAAGATAAATAAAATAAACCAGTAAACCAAACTGTTTTAAATCGCATCCCAGCCTTCAAGGCGAAAAGCACCACCACGGTCTCAACCTGGTGCCTGGCAGAGAGCTGAAGCTAAAGTATGTGTGAAACATTGTGAAACCCTAAGGTAACCTTAGGACACTTGCTAACATGATAAATGGATGATCAACTTGAGTCAACATGATTCAACATGATTCAACATGATTCAATAATCTTGATGTTGCAAACAGAATCATCTTGAAATTAATCTTCGAGGACTCCCGTCTCCCCGTCTACAAACTCACCCCTGAACCCTCCTTCCGCGATCTACGAAGTCGCCATTGAAAACGCAGCGAGGGCAATCCGCTGATCCCGGCCTTTGCGGAAAGGACTGACAGCCTCTAGAAATATCTGGAAATCAGAAACAGCAAATATGGTAGCGACGCCCTACTAATTGGAGGAATCTCATGGAATTTTGAGGAACGGGAATGATGGCCAGTGCAGAGTGCCCTTTTAAGACCAGCTTCAGGTCTTGAACTTGAACTAACGTGGTTGTAGGATGTTGTGGGTGTGTTGCTTGATTCGCAAGATACAAGTCACTCTCCACAGTCTTCCATTGGTTATGGCATCTGATAGCCATACACAGACCCGCTCAATTCTGAGTCACCAAACAAGCCAAAGGAGTGGAACCTAAGCGCACATGAAGCCGATGATGAAGCCTCTCTAATGCATCTTAAAGACCAACATTCATCGAGAACGTTGGTGGTCGGGACGAAGCACAAGTTGCAAGTTCTCTGCTGGCAACTTCCTGTGTTAATATGTTTTAGCATGTTTTAGCAAGAGGCAGAATGCCACTGGCCAATCATCATTCTTCTGAGAATGTCTCACAATTGAACTCAATCCTTGATTGCGGTCTGAGGTGGCAACAGCAAGAGTAGATCTCGAAGCTGGCCGTGGATATCCCCGTAGATCTTGCAAGGCACCTCCACCTCACACATCTGACTCACATTAAGATCGTACAGTACGCATAGCTTCCAGCTGCCTCAAACGAACCTGATCGAACCTGCATTGGTCCCAAGCATGGCCAATTTCTGCTAATGTGATTTACCGCCTCCCTTCAAGAGGCCCTTGTGAAGGCAGAATCCAGCAGCGCACCTCTGTCAGTGAAGGCTGCGCAGCAATGACACGCTGACATCCTTCGATCAGCTCCAGAAAACCTCGAATTTGTGACATTGGAAAAGCAGGCAGCAGGGAAAGCATCTCAGACTCCAATTTTTTCCCACTCGAAGACCAACTGAAATCAAATGTCTCTTCCAGTTCCCAACACTTAGTACCAAACTCCGCCCTGCTTGATCCACAGAATCAGTGCCCAGCAACTGAAACCTTAGCAGCAAAGCAAACCACTGACTTTTTGAATGGAACCTGCACAGTTGCCACAGACAAGAATAAAATAGATATTATACAATGTAAATATATATATATTATATATATGTAATTATATGTATATATATTATATTATATTATATTATATTATATTATATTATATTATATTATATTATACTGTCTGCAAGACATCTCATCATACAAGGATACGACTTCAACCTTTTGCCTACAACCTAGCACAATGAAGGGGTATCAACTGAACAGCCGTTAGACTCTAGACATTGGTGAAAGTCATGAAAAGGATCTACTGTTGATACCCCTTCACTGTTTGGGGTCTGACTACTGCTCAAATTGAACAAGCTGTTGCAAGTGGACTGGGTGCACTGCAAAATGTTTTCCCGATCCCAGTGCTTGTCCAACTTGTCCTTCGAGTGCGTCTATGCTTATGAAGCAGAATGCTTCATTTTACTGGAAACCAGAAAATAATTAAACAAACAAAGAAAAAACAGGAAAAACAACAAACAAAAAAGATACAAATTGCACCAGACTGCTTTGTATTTGTTTCTTTCTTGTTTCTTTTTTGTTTCGTTTTTGTTTTTTTGTTCCTCGGGAGACTCCGGAATCCCAAATCTGCATTTTCCTTTGGAAAAAAAAACAAAGCACTCTGGCGCAATTTGTTTCATTTTTTTTGCCTGGTTTGTTTTTTGTTTTTTTTTGTTTGTTGTTTTTTTAAATATTATTAATTATTTTCAATTGTCCAATGAATGCATGCCTCTAGACGTCATAAGTCTATGCAAGCCATGCAATAAGGCCCTAGGTTCCAAACATGTCCAGCTTCAAACTCTTGAAAAACACCTCCACCTGAAGAATAGCCAACCTTTGAAGACTCGATCCTGTCCTCCTCCTCCTCTGACACTTCCCGCGCTAGAAGCTGCACTTGATCGTAGACCTCATCACCGTGCAAGGATGGGGCGAAAAACTGTCTTTCAAATCTTTCAAAGTTGCTCAATCCAAGCAAAGCGAGCTACAATGTCAGCCAAAGCCAGTGCTCGTACAAACAATCCAACATCGCGGTTGGCAATCCATTGGGAAATGGTTTTGTAATGTTTTGGTACATGCTTCGTTGCCCCTTAAAAGCCTTGCATTTTGGCATCCCAGCCTTCTTTGCAACCTGCTGGCTGGCGGCCTTCGGCTGTAGCTCATGAACAAAAATGTGATATCAAATTTATCAACACCATTCAATCACTATCAGCAGTTTGTTGGTTGCATATGTTTGCATTCCATCTGTTTGAAGTCATGGCGTCATGACACCACAGTGACCCAGGCCTCGGCTTCTAGTGTCACTGACCTGGCCAGGTTCAGGTAGACCATAGTCCAATGGTAGATCTATGTGGATGTTCTGCCCTTGGAGGCTCTTCCCATTTCCCAATATGTTGGACGCTGGATTTTTGCATATTTGGTTCATACCATTACAGATTATCCTTATCTTGACATATCTTGACCATGTGTAGAATCTGAGAGCCTCTATTTCGGCCTCAGTCAATCTAGCATGCGGCATCATCTTTCATGCGGGGTTTATTGATTTCAGTCACATCACCAACCGTCACAAGCTCGTCTGCATTCGCGTGATTTTGCGTGTCCAAGGTGAACCCTTCCTTTGATGCCGCTGTGACGCAATGGGTGCATACTTGCGGATCCTTGCCTTGTGCGCCTTTCATGCATTACTCTCTTGGGCACTTCTTGCACCTGCCTGAAGTATTGACAGCCAGCTGTAGCTCCGGAGAAGTGGCAGTGGGCTCCCTTGCACTTCTACTGTCTTGACACTTCTACTTTCTCATTGCTACTTTTGGCCAACGTTCAAGCCATTCAAGCAGACAAAGGCTCTGGAGGTCTTGAGGCCGGTTGAGACCGGTTGAGGCCGGTTGAGGCCGGTTGAGCGCCAAGCACTTGGCCAGTCTCGTAGTCTAAGAAGTCGTATTCGCGGTGGATGTACACCTGGCAAGTGGCAAGTGCAGAGGGAACTGTGCATTGACATCTTAGACATCTTGATCAAGTGCCGCTTTGATGCCGCTTCCCGGTTTCAGGGACGAACTTGACAGTCAAGTCATGTCGGTCAGACCGAAGGTCCGCAGTCCTTTGCAGGGAGTCCATAGAATTGGCTGAATTGGCATTAATGCCGTGTAAAAAATATTATCCATTTCCATCCACACTCAACAGCAGTTACGAATCACAACAAAAAGGACCCAGGCTAAGTGTTTTTTGTGGGTAAAAAAGTTACTACATCAAAGAATTGCAAGCTCTGACTGCACAACCACCTCCAAGAGGGACAGCGAGAGATGGCTTGGGGCTTCACAACTTGCCTAGACAGTCCTTACAAATGTGGATCTCTGAGCACGACGAGCAAATGAAATGCATATCGCCAGGCCTGAGTGGTGGCACTGAACGACGCGACGCTATGGGATCTCATGGGACAGTCAGTTCCAAAGCCAAGAATAAGGCTTGAACTGCAGATCGACTTGTTCACGTTTCACGTGTCGTCCAAATCCGTATATAATCCTCTGTGTGCCAAATGTGAAGCTGCTCCCTCCCAGTTGCGGATGAGTGGCAGAATGTCTTCCTCGCAGCGGCTGCACTCCTGGCACGTGTCTGAGGCTTGCATCAGTGTAGACAAAGCGACAGAGAGACCGTTGGCCCATGGTGCGATCTATTTCATTGGCTTCGATATCGCAAGGTTGTCCAAGACATCTTGTTTGCAACATTCGTTTTGATTCTGATCCAGATAGCAGAAGTTTACATGTGCGGAAGCTGCCATGTTATGCCTACGCTCCCACACAAATATTAAAGGTTGTAGTCCTGCCATTTCTTGAATTCCCTGAGCAGACTTTGAAGTACTTTAAACATCTTTAGACCCACACAAATGAGGTGCCACTCTGTGCCCTGCTATCTGCTGCAAGTCTGCATCGTTTGCAAACCAAGGGGATCCAAGATCGTTAAGTAGCCGCCCAGCCTTGGCTGAGCTGCACATGAGGAAGGTCTGGTACCGGGGCAGCCGAGCATATCGGTGAAGAGGTCGGCCTCAGAACAGAACCACTGTTCAAACTGCTGGATGCCCATGGATGCGTCCTCAAAGGACTGGTGTTTGACATACCGTGGAAATACTTCATACGAGACACATGAACTCAGATTGCAAAAATGCTTCTCCAGATCTGTGTTGATGCTTGTCATATCTTGTCACGAGATCATGGGGCCAACGGATTTTGAGGGCAACCCTGCAGCCATCCTGTGCGAAAAACAGCAACTGGGCTCGCTGCGGCAGCTGTCGCACAGAGAGCGTTGCGGTCCACTAACCATTGCGTCGCCATCCTCTACACGCCTCAGACCAAAGAAATGCCATGCCCCATCACAGAATCAAAGTATATCAAAATGCACAAGTGTCCCGAATGTCCTGTCCAAGAAAATATAAGAAAATGCTTGAGAACACTTTCGGAGTTCCCAGAATTTCCCAGATCATTTCCCGTGGGACGACAGTTGACAGCCACGCAAAAAACATCAAAAAATCCAAAACCGGGAGATGATGTGAGTCCCGGGCCTGGCTGCTTCATCCCAGTCGTGCTCATCTTCCAAAACGTCCTGGCCAAAACAAATCACAAACATCGCAGCCTCAGAGACGTAACCTGACAGGAATGTTGACTATGCCCAGCAAAGAATCTTGATGAGCCTTGGATCATCTTGAACATTGAAGGCGAGCCACCGAAGGGGCACTTTTCACAATGTCCACTTTCATCATGCACAATTTTGACAAGTTGCTAGTGGCACTGCACAGAACGCTGTTTTGCATTTTTCAGATTCTTTCAGTATATGTCATGATCTTGCATGTGAATGTGTGTGTGTGCGCGCGCGCACAGTTAACTGCATCTTCAACGGAAATCCTTCCGACATGAGTTTTCCATTTGTGCTCTCAGATTCCTTTCAAGGCATATCATAAATGCCTGCGCACTCTGTTGCCCTTTGACAACGGTCATACTTCATATATGCTTGCAGTTGTCAAAGTTACATGCTCTCAAGGCTCGTGGCAATCAAAACGCTTGAATAAACATGAATAAACTAAACATACTAAACAGATCTAAACAGTGCATACATCCAGAGTCATCCAGTCTTCAGTGAATGTTTTTCGAGGTCAACAGTCTAGCCTGGTACAGCTCGCACGCAGGCATTGCGACCTGCGCTCCTTGATCTTCGTGGCGCAGGTGTGGTGACGAGTCAATCTGTTGAGGGGAGGTAAGTCATCAAGATTCATCAAGAGTAAGACTTGAGTCAAGACTTGAGCTGGCATGGTCTTGAACTTATCGGCCATTTGTTGGCATGGTTCTTGAATGTTCTTGACGTGTCCTATTGAAATGGGAAACCTTGCTCCCTGAGACCCTAAGATCACCTGATGACTTGGTTTTTTGTTTTATGGACAACAAATGTGTCAATGGGCGCTTGAGCCGAGGCAACACAGTGGCAGGAATAAGCCATGATCTTAGTAATATTAGTATGATTTTGCACGATTTTGGATGGGGCAACCTGGCATGGCCTCTTCCTCGGGTTTCGCTGTGTTTGACCACAACTTGTATCGACCGTTGTAGTCTTGCAATGTCTTGCAGTCACAAGACAAGCAGGTTCAATTTGTACAATCGGGGCCGAGTCCGTACAGCTCCACGCCTATTAGCCCACTACGCCACCCATCAGAACCCTACATCTCTTCGTCCAATCTTCGTCCAATCTTCGTCCAATCTTCGTCCAATCTTCGTCCAATCTTCTAAATTCAGCACATGGCGAGGTTCTTCACTTTTTCCTTGGTTTCACTCACAGTTGTCTAAGAAAATCGTATTAGGACCCACGATCTTTCGGATCATGTCCAATGCTTCCACCGCTCATTTGACCGCCCGTCTCACTCCGAAATGAGCGACTCTTCAAACCCATGTCTTTCACAGCCACGAGGTATTGCAGCGTGCCTTCAGGGTTTCTCAGGTTAAGGACCCTCATCACCCTCATCTTCTGACCGCAAGGGTGCAACATGGCCCTTGAAAAACAGGACGAAACTCGATGAAATAGATGAAACTCCAATTGCCTGAGGGTTCATGTTGCAGACACTTGCAGACCACAAGCATTCGGCATGTTTTACGACACACGTACGACACACGCTGCCGGAGGTATCGCGGGGTCCTCAAAAGCCGTTGCGTCCCCAAACGACCAGTGCGATGGACATCGAGAACATGGAGAGCAAAACCACCTGCGAAAAGGGCAACATTTTGCAACTGTCCAAGATTGTCCAAGCAGCAACTCATATCATCAATTATCATCATGTCATGTCGTGATATGTCGTGTCCCATCACCTTAGAATTCACTTCTGAGTTCCTTACGAAGCTGATGTTTGGGTTTTCCAATGGCGACAGATCTGCCAAGGCCAAGTTGGTGGCAATCTCAGGGGCCTCAAGTGCAAAACCGGACCTGAGGATCTGCCAAAAGGATCCAAAAGGTAAGGGGAATGAGTTTGAAGGTGGCTTGCTTCATGGACAAACTACGTGGTTGACAATGTACACCTCTTCTCAAACGAGCAAAACCTGGCAAGTCTGCCCAGTCCCGTCCAGAAAGCAAAAACCCTTCCACACTCTGGATCGCCAATCCAACTTCACCAACTTCATTACCTCGAAGTGAAGCTTTAATGCAGCCTCCCAGGCCTCCCAGATTGGTATGACATACTCCCCCTACTTTTCACATCTTTTCACCATACAAATATATACAAACATGCTCTCCCGCTCTAAGTCCGAGCTTCGTTGGAAAGCTGAGTCACAGCTTCTGGCGCCTGCAGTGGAGCCTGCACGACCCGGCTGTTTCTGTTTTCGGATGTCAGATGTCAGATGTGAGAAGTGCCCAAGAACTGAACAGAGCTCTTCCATTTTGATTCCACGAATGCCAGACATGATGGACCAGCCTGGATCCTAGATTCCTAGATTTTTCGTTTGAACATGTTTGAACCGAGCTTATTGTCAAATGAACTTGACCCCCCCTACTTGTTGTCGCTGATCTAGATCATATCAAAAGCAAAAAAACATTGAGTGTGGGATAGATTTCAAAAGCTTCGCTCTGTTGTAGCTGGTCTAAGAGTCTAGCCCGTTTTCTGAAGAAAAAAGCTGTCAGTGTTAGTGGAATGCTATATATTGCAATGTTAGATGCAGCGAACATTGCTGCATGATTTGGCTGAATGGTCGGAGGATTAGTGCAGGTGACTTTGCAATGTCTAGTTCTGGCAGTGTCTCTGGCACTGCCATATGCCTTTGGATACAACAAGTTGGCCCTGCGGTTTAACGTGTTGAAAAGAATTTTCAAGATCTTGAGAAGGGATGCTAGGATCTGCATCATGAAACTTGTCGGCAGTTTGTTTACTAAGAATGTGTTCTTCTCAGAAAACACCAGCGGCTTCCCAATGCGCTGTTGACAAGTGGTATCAGACGTATCCACATCGCAGCTTCATCTGAATGTCCAAAACCGTCATCTATTTCTAAGTATTGGTTGGATTACAATTTTCCCCAGCCAGTCGGATCAGGATAGATCAGCTATCAGCATCAACCGAGTGGCGTTGCTTAGACGCCCACCTGCACCAAGGGGCCAAGGAAAGCAGGTGCCGCCAGCATGGCCTGCAAATGATTAGTCTCCAACGAACTGTCAGAAAATGGATTCAACAGATCTGCGAACTGATAGAACTTGGAGATCTGAGAGCATTTCCTGGCTCCCTCAGCTCCACCCTCTCAGTTGTTTGGGCGTTAATACAAACAGCTACTTGTTGGAACATGTTGAGCCGCTGAGTCCCAGCTGCAAAGGCCAAAAACCCGAAAGCCAAAGGAGAACGTCGCGCTGGCCTCAGGCACGAGAAACTGATCACATCGAAAGATAGAAATTGCTGCGGATTGATGTGGTTGCCCCAAAAATAAACTGTAAAAAAAAATAACAACATGAAATGAGAGCAGTCAGAGCAATTCCTCAGTTCCTGTGATAAAAACACCTCTCAAAAATAGCCAACCAGTATGCCCTAGGCCCTACAATGCCCTACAAGTAGGCCCACCGGCCCTTTTCAAAGAAGTGCTTTTCCCACCTTTTCAAAGGGCAATGACTTTGAGATCTTTAAGAAACACACGGAAACACGAAAAACGCAAAGCTTCTCCGTAGATCTGTTCACTCAGTTCACTCTCTTGGCCCCCGCACGCCATGGCTGGTGTCAGTGGTGTCGAAAAAAACACGGGGGCGGAGGCGAAGCTGGAGCCCAAGCAGCCGCATGGATTAATTCACTGTCTGATTCTTGGATGAACAATCCAAACATCCAAAAACATCCAAACAAATGAAAAAAAACATCAAAAAACATCAACAAGCCTATGCCCTCATGAGCAAAGGCTAGCAAACTAAATTAGCAGAAACCAATGTTCTGGGTTGCTCATGAACAGTGCGTGCCAGTTTCGTCAAGAATTTATGCTTCCAGTCTTCAACACAATCTCCAGTTTGATCATTTACTATTCCGCATCATGTTGGGAGTCATCCCTTGATTTCTGGCAACCCTCATGCAATCCATCTTTTACATCCCGCTGCGAGCGGGTTGCGTCGTTTGACCGAAGTTGAGCTCAGAAAAAAGTGCCGGTGGCCCATCTGGAATAGACGGATGCTCCTGCCGTTGGTGTATGGCGGGTCAAAATCCCTGCGCCGCCGCCACATCAGTCTTTATGTTGCAGATGGACGGATTTCACAGGGATGGAGGGCGCACCAACAAGCATTTTGCAAAACATGTTGCATGCAATTAGCAGTTGCAATATATTCAGGATTCTTCAGGCATATTAGTATGTCGAGCAAATATAATCAAACTGTATGGCTTGAATGGTCGATTGCGGTCGAATACTGGCAACATCTGGCAACAAGTTCATGGTGAGATCAATCGATTATACTTGCCCTCAGCTGTGGCCACCAGCATCCACTACCACCTGCTGAGCCACCCCGTCACTATCCACCCGTCCGGCAGGTGCTTAGAAGCCATTGCGGCCCCAAACCACAAGCGCAATGGACATGGAGAACATGGAGAGCAACACCACCTGCGAAGGCAGAGATTCATGGTCCGATCATGTCTCTCAGAAAGCCCTTCTTACTTCGATTTACTTCGTGCTTCCGGTGCTCCAAAAAGTGCTCACAACATCTCACAACATCTCACAACCAGTTTGTTACACTCTCATCTGGGAGTGAGGTCCACCAGTTTGACCAGGACCCACGACAAGAAAATGGAACATATTGCATCATATTGCTGTGTTCCAAAGTCGAGGAACTGGGGAAATCCCACAGCCCTTCCAGGCCCCGCACGAATGAAATGTTTGGGTTCTCCAGGGGCGAGAGATCCGCAAGTGTCATGCTGCTGGCAATGTCAGACACCTGTCAAAAGGCGACTCAGGCTCCATCATGCTCCATCTCCCTACATATATACATCTATCATCATCTATCACAAAAAAAATACTCTATTGTCCATCATGAACAAGTGAGGTATGTGAGGTGATAAATCACACAAAGCTCTTGGCTGTTTGTTCTAAGTCAATAACATGTTGACTCCTGTTGCTCCCGGTGAGATGGAAAAAGGTATACGTACAAAAACGAGCAAGCTCTTGTGGCGAAAAAGAGCTATCTGTGGCCCGCTTCGTTTGGTACCTTTGGTACGTTTGGTACGTTTGGTTTGACTGTTTTTGTACGTTTTTGTTGTGATTCACTTCCTCTAATCGCTCTCGTGCAGCCCTTCGCCTGTGGCATTTGCGCCTGGGAGATCTCGGCTGCCTGGTGAAAGCTGCAAGAGTCCGGGCTTTGTTGACACAAGAAGTGCTCAAAACATGGTGGAACTACATTAAACTACCACGTAAACCAAGAAAGTGCACAAAAGTGCTAAGCAAAGTTCTTTTCCACCCCATGCTTCAAACAGGATTCGCAAACGGTGCCTTGTGCGACTGTTGCGCACATGACACAACCCGGAACTTGGGGGGACTTGTTGGGCAGCTGATGAGCTTGTTGCCCAGTTCATGAGCCTCATGCAGAAACAGCCTTTGGAAACTGCATGGATTCTGGATATGTATGGGACCTCAAAAGCAGAACATCTACACTCCTGCTTTATGACACATTTGATGAATCTATTGAGAGAAACGGAAACTGACATGTCATGGTGCTACTTAGGTACCCACTTGTTTCCTGAAGGCAGGACTGTGTACATCGTGGCTCATAACTTGGCTGAATTCGAGCAGAAGTGCTATAGAACAGCAGGGGTCCTCGTTTGTCCCCTGGGAAGATGTCACCGTGGCTCTGTCCTGCCATCGGAGCCTCAAAATTTTCTGTACATTGCGTCGGTTGTTGATGTACATTCAGTGCACATGTTGCGGCAATGTACTTGATTTGCCCCAATTGTCACTGCTAGAAGAAGAACCACATGCTTCCAGCAGCTCACATAGTAGTTGCACTCCCCCCTAATTTTGGGGCCCCTGACTTTAGAAACTTTAGTTCCTTTAGGCTACGGATGGCTTTACATATGCTGACAAAAATGCTGCGGAAGCAGGGAGTGTTCGAATCCACTCAGTGCAACTTCCATCATCTCTTTGCCATTGAAGACGTCCTATGGCCGCTGATAGCAGCTGTCCATTCCCACAAATCCAAGGGCCACCCTCCTCCCGGTAGACCTTGGACAGCATGGACAGAGCAAATCAAAGCGCAGCACAATAAACAAATAATCAAATCGCCAGATTGGGAAATGGAATTATGTCTGTCTGAGTTTTGAAGACCAAGGGAAAGATAGACACAACATGACACAACTACAGCTCAGCCCAGCAAATACGAGCAAAGACAAGCAACTTTCAGGAAAGTCTTCCAAAGCGGCGTCTTCTTCTGCCCCTTGTGATCCCAGGAAATCCGTGCCCGTGCACTGCACCCGCCAGTAGCCACCACTGACACGGAATGGCCCAATGAATCTACCCACTCACCAAGCAGAAAGCTGATTTGTGAAAAGTCGATGCCGTCAATCGTGAGGGGGCCCACAAGGCGGTCCAAAACCTTCTCTGGCTGATGCGTGTGATGCATGACTTCGCCATGTTCATCTGGTTCATCCACCATGAACCAATCCGCAGCGTGTTCCGAGGCCGCATCCTTGTCACTGATCAACGCCCATGATGCCAAGCTCACTTTGTCATCATCACCTTGGCACTTTTTCTCTCCATCTGTTGCGCAAAACATGCTGTACGACCTGAGCGATGTCCTTGACAGTAATGTTGGGCCAAATGGCTGGAGACACAAAATCTTCTCTCTTCTCTGGATCAGACCTCTCTAAGTCTTGTGGCACAGAACAGGGTCAAGTTTTGGGGTTTGCGAGTGAACTCGAGCTGTCAATGCCCTAGATGAAGAGATACCAACACGTTGGCATTGAAGTTTCGCTGCGCCTTTATTTTTGTCGGCAAAATAAACAAATGCCGTGTTTATATGTGTTTATGGTGTTTCATGGTGTTTCATGGTGTTTCAATGGTCCAATTTGTTGTCCTCTCCATCCCCTGCGCCTGTGGTGCGGAGCCAGCAACTGCCCGGCCGATGGGCTCGAGGAAGGCGGGCCAAGCAGCCAAGGCCTCAAGATCACTGCATGACATCATGGTCCGACGGACAATGACTACAGATATCTGCAGATACTACAAGGATGGTAGTGACTACTAGTGACCATCATGATTGTCATGATTTTCCTCGCCACCCTCATCATGATCATGGCCAGGGTGGTGATGTTACCCCAGTTTGAAAAGGTCTTTTTCCGCGGCCTTTGCCTTTGCCTTTGCCGTTTCCGCGGCCCTTGCCACGAGCTCTGCTGTCGCTCCGATCTCCGCTCCGGGCTGACAGCGGTTTCAGCAAACCCAGATGGTGCGGGAGGTAGTCACCGGCGAAGGCAAAATTTGGCCCCGAGGCCATTCGACTTTTGCATGATGCCCTCCACCTCGGCTCCACCAAACCGCAACAACCTTCACAAATATGTGATCCCGTGTCTCGTGCAAGCAAAGTCTCCCACAAAGCATCCGTTTATCTATGAAGCATCCATGAGTCCCCAAACCAAAAAAAACATTATCAAAAGAAATTTAGTTCGAACTTCCGAGCTAGGGACGAATGTCCAGGGGGTAGTCTTGTCATCATTGTATTCGTCATTGCGTGTGTTTTATGTCATCACCATTTGAACAACACAGTGAGCAAGAGCACTTCGCGTGTGTGGGAAATAGAAGCGAGTAACCGTTCGGGAGCACGTGAATTCACGGGTGAAAACATTCTCGGGCATGACTTTTTGGTGGGGTAATGTGGCTCCTGGGGTCGCCGAAGTAGGGTCTCTGTTTCCTCGGGTTCGGGGCTCGATCTGGGAAAGTTGTCAGCAAAAAGTGCACAGGACGCTAGCGAGAGCTCGATTTGCACGTCAAAATGCAAGAACCGGAGGTGCGCTGAGCACTTCTGGAAGATGAAGTCGGCAAAATGTGCACGAGAGTGTACAGGAAGGTTCGCGAACCGCGAACCGGGAACCGAACCGCGCGAACCGGAAACCACCCAGAAACCTGCAGTTGGGAAACCGAACCGGGAGGGAAGAAGTGTGGGAAAGGTAGGGAAGGATGAAGAGAGCGTAGGAGGTGGAACGGGGGCCTCGTTTAAAGAGCTGACGGGGCGCAAAGGAGCCCGGAAGGGGAGAGGAGGTGTTGGCGGCAGGGAAGGCAAGGAAGAAGGGGAAGCGGGCGCCTGTGGAGAAAGAAGCTCCGTGGTGTGTTTGAAAAATGAAGTGAAGGCGGGTGCTCCGCACTCTACACTTTAGAGTGTACACTTTACGCTTTACACTTTATACTTCACACTCCACAGTCTACACTTTACAACTAGACTTTACACTCTACACTTTACACTCCACACCGCACACTCTACGCTTGACACACTACACTTTACACCCTTCACTCCCATACTTTAGACGTTACACTTTACACTCCTCACTCCTCACCGCACACTTGACGCGCCATACTCCACACTTTACACGCCAAACTCTACACTTGACACGCTACACTTGACACTCTACACTCCACACTCTACACTTGCCACTGTGCACCCTTCACTCCACATTCCGCCCTCTACACTTTACACTCTACATTTTACACTTTACACTTTACACCCCACACTCCATACATTGTACACTTTACACACTACACTTTACACTCTACACTTTACACTTTACACTCCACACTCTACACTCTACACTGTACACACTACACTGTACACTCGGCACTCTTCACTCGACACTCCATACCTTACACTTTACACTTTACACTCCTCTCCTACCGCCAGGCATCAGCACCCATCTGCAACTTTCACCCGGCGGGCTCCTGTGCTTCCCAGCAGCTACCTAAAGAGCCCCACTCCAAATGGCCCCCCCAAGCCACGCCCTTTCTTCCCTCCAATCGAACCATATGCACCGCCAGCACAGTTCGCTGCTTTTACCAAGCATACCATGTCTACACACTACACTTTATACTCTACACTTTACACACTACACTTTATACTCTACACGTTACACTCCACACTTCACACTCTACACTTTACACACTACACTTTACACTCTACATTCTTTACGCTCTACACTCTACACAACACTTTCCACTCCACACTCCCCCCTCTTCACTTGACACATGACATTTCCGTCCTTTTCCTCAGGTGTCTCGTACTTTTTTCCTGCTCTTCCTCCACTGTTCTCCGTTTTCCCGCTCCGTAACGGCCCGTAACCTCCCGTAACCTCCTATGACCTCCTGTGACCTCCCGTGACAAAACGTTCCACACTCCACACTCCACACCTCACACTCTACACTTTGCACTTTACACGTTACAGTCTAAACTCCACACTCCACACTTTACATGCCACACTCGACACTTTACACGCTACACTTTACACTCTATACTTTACACTCCACACTCCACACTCCACACTCCAGACTCTACACTTTACACACTACACTTTATTCTCTACACGTTACACTCCACACTCCACACTCTACACTTTACACACTACACTTTACACTCTACATTCTTTACACTCTACACTCTACACAACACTTTCCACTCCACACTCCCCCGTCTACACTTGACACTTGACATTTCCGTCCTTTTCGTCGGGTGTCTCCTACCTTTTTCCTGCTCTTCCTCCACTGTTCTCCATTTTCCCGCTCCGTAACCGCCCGTAACCTCCCGTAACCTCCTATGACCTCCCGTGACCTCCCGGCCACACTTTGGCCCAAAACGGCCCTTTCCCAATGATCCCAGAAGAGGAATTCAATCTGCGGCCAAGGGGCCGCCAATGGCAGAAATTTGCTCCCGTAACCTCCCGTGGCCTCCCGGCTAGGATTTGGCCCAAAACGGTCGTTTCCCAATGAGTCCGGACGAGAAATTCAATAGCCGAAGGGTCGCGAAATGGCAGAACATTGCTCCCATGCCTCCCCGTAACCTCGCATAACCAACTGTAACCTCCCTCCCATACAAACACAGCAAAACGCTCCATACTCCACACTCCACACTTCCCACTCTACACTTTACACTTTACACGTTACACTAAACTCCCCACTCCACACTTTACATGCCACCTTCCCCACTTTACACTCGACACTCTACCACGGCAAAGTGGCAAGGGTTCCAGCAGCACAGATTGCAGCCAGGAATGGTCGTCTTTAACTCTTGCTCGCGCCCCACCAACCCGAAGCAGCCGCGCACATTATTGAAGCAAAGCAGAAAACAGTTCTAAAAGAATCGTATACAAAATTATAGGACCGGATAACCCCACATGTTACCAACTTCTCTATACTGAGACTGAGCATAGAAAAGCAACAGGGGAAGAGGAAGTATGAGAGTGATGGAGGGCTGATGGAGGGCTGATGGTGGGTGAGTTTGTGTGTGTGTGTATGTGCATGCACAGGTGAGTGAGTGAGACTGTGAGGGAGTGAGTGAGTGAGTGAGTGATGTGAGTGTGGTGTGTGTGAGTGAGTGAGGGAGAGTGAGCGAGTGAGAGTGAGCGAGTAAGTAAGTGAATGTGAGTGAGTGAGTGGAGTGAGTGGAGTGAGTGGAGTGAGTGGAGTGAGTGGAGTGAGTGGAGTGAGTGGAGTGAGTGGAGTTGAGTGGAGTGAGTGGAGTTGAGTGGAGTTGAGTGGAGTTGAGTTGAGTGGAGTGGAGTGGAGTTGAGTGAGTGAGTGAGTGAGCGAGAGTGAGCGAGAGTGAGCGAGAGTGAGCGAGAGTGAGCGAGAGTGAGCGAGAGTGAGGGAGTGTGAGGGAGTGTGAGTGAGTGTGAGTGAGTGTGAGTGAGTGAGTGAGCGTGAGTGAGCGTGAGTGAGCGTGAGTGAGCGTGAGTGAGCGTGAGTGAGCGTGAGTGAGTGTGAGTGAGTGTGAGTGAGTGAGCGTGAGTGAGCGTGAGTGAGTGAGTGTGAGAGTGTGAGTGAGTGAGTGAGTGAGTGAGTGAGTGAGTGAGTGAGTGAGTGAGTGAGTGAGTGAGTGAGTGAGTGAGTGAGTGAGTGAGTGTGAGTGAGTGAGTGAGTGAGTGAGTGGAGTGAGATAGTGAGAGGAGGCCAGGAGTGAGAGAGAGAGGGAGTGGGTGAGTGAGAGTGAGTGGTCCAAGTGCCATAGACCAGCATCATGACCTGAGCAGACAAGTCATGAATAAAGAAGCCATGATAAGCTGACAAGCAAGCAATCTGAATGAGCTGAGTTGATACATCGCCGTGCCCTGCTTCTGAAGGGCATGACCTGAGCAGAGCAGAGTGGCGGAGACCAAAGGACGCCAGTGCGTACATCCGACCCCTTGCAGAGCACCAAGCGCGGCGCCTGCCACGCAAAACCTACCGGCAAAGCGGCGGAGACCAAGGGACGCCAGGGCGTACATCCGACCCCTTGCAGAGCACCAAGCGCGGCGCCTGCCACGCAAAACCTACCGGCAAAGCGGCGGAGACCAAGGGACGCCAGGGCGTACATCCGACCCCTTGCAGAGCACCAAGTGCGGCGCCTGCTGGGGACCCCTTAGGGTATGTGGGGGGACCTTTCCATTTTCCTTTTTAAGGTGGGGTTGCCTACTCCTGTCCAATCCTGATCCTGGCTTTGGAGACCAAGAATGCCTAAACAAGCCTAAACAGTGCATCGCGCCATTTTATAGGGTGCACAGCCGCATGGTCAGGGCAGGGTTTTACCTGGGACTGGAAAGCTTTCTCAGGCTTCAACCTGGCACTGCGGTGGGTAATAAGCACCTTTGGTGCCATCCATATATCAATATTCCCACTTCATGTTGCGTACCGTGTCTCAACACTTGGGCAAACGGGACGGCCGGAGGTATATTAAAAACATAAAAACTGGTTCACATTTTAGGTTTTGCCACCTTGATCCATCGCAATCTGATCCCGTTGTAGCGGATAGGTGCAAAGCTTTTTCAATTAGCTTCAAAATGGTTGATTTAAGCTTCCAAATCGTCGATTTTAGCTTCAAAATCGTCGATTCTAGCTTCACACGGTGCTAGGGCGACGTTAGGGCGACGTTAGGGCGACATTAGGGCGTCTGTAGGGCCTTTCCTGCAGCTAAATGCCGCATCACATGATGTGGCAATCCTCCAGGGGCCAACAACAGGGCACAACCGACCAGATTGTTTTTTCTTGTACCCAGCTTGTACTTTATTCTTCCCAGAGGCTATTCCTTTTCATTCCTGTTCATTTTTCTTTTTTGTTTTGGGACTTACAAACCTTAAGCACAATGAAATGCATAGAAGATTTCTTTCGCATTCCTATGCGTTTCATTGCTTTTAAGGTCTGTAAGTCCCAAGACATGATGGAAAAATGAAAAGGAATAGCTCTGGAAAGAAAAAGGTACCGAAACCTGTAGAAATGCTCCACGGACGGTCCCATTGCTTAGGGCCTCCGGCCCTAAGCGATGGAGAGGCCCCCAGAGCGAGAAACAAGCATGTCTCTTGCTCTGGGAAGCGTCCCATTGCTTAGGGCCTCCGGCCCTAAGCGAAATCGACCATTTTGAACCTAAAATCGACCATATTGAAATTAAAAGCGACCAAATTAAGCGCACCACCGATTGGATGGGTTTTTGGGCGGAAGCATCCCCATCGCTTAGGGCCAGAGGCCCTAAGCAATGGGACGCTTCCCAGAGCAAGAGACATGCTTGTTTCTCGCTCTGGGGGCCTCTCCATCGCTTAGGGCCGGAGGCCCTAAGCAATGGGACCGTCCGTGGAGCATTTCTACAGGTTTCCGTACCTTTTTCTTTCCAGAGCTATTCCTTTTCATTTTCCCATCATGTCTTGGGACTCACAGACCTTAAAAGCAATGAAACGCATAGGAATGCGAAAGAAATTTTCTATGCATTTCATTGTGCTTAAGGTTTGTAAGTCCCAAAACAAAAAAGAAAAATGAACAGAAATGAAAAGGAATAGCCTCTGGAAAGAATAAAGTACAAGCTGGGCACAAGAAAAAACAATCTGGTCGGTTGTGCCCTGTTGTTGGCCCCTGGAGGATTGCCACATCATGTGATGCGGCATTTAGCTGCAGGAAAGGCCCTACAGACGCCCTAATGTCGCCCTAACGTCGCCCTAGCACCGTGTGAAGCTAGAATCGACGATTTTGAAGCTAAAATCGACGATTTGGAAGCTTAAATCAACCATTTTGAAGCTAATTGAAAAAGCTTTGCACCTATCCGCTACAACGGGATCAGATTGCGATGGATCAAGGTGGCAAAACCTAAAATGTGAACCAGCTTTTATGTTTTTAATATACCTCCGGCCGTCCCGTTTGCCCAAGTGTGAAGTTAGGGCGACGCTAGGGCAACGTTAGGGCATCTGTAGGGCTTTTCGTGCAGCTAAATGCAGCTAAATGCTAATAAGCTTTGCACCTATACACAGCTTACACAATCGGTTGCGCTTTTGAGACATGCCGTAGCCTGGCCGTAGCATCAACATTGTGGCCTGATTTTGGCTTTGTTTGTTTTGCTTACTTTTTGAAGCCAGTTGAATCCAATGATTGGTCTTTTGGGCCCTGACCTTGCCCGGAACCTGGTGTTAAAACTGCAGCGGATAGCACCGCCGGATGGGAAACCCTTGAAAAAAAAAATCAAAAAAATGAACCCCACCGGCGTTTTCTTTTACTAAGTGGGTGGGTAGGGCGCCTGCCACGCCAAACCTACCGGCAAAGCAGCGGAGACCAAGGGACGCCAGGGCGTACATCCGACCCCTTGCAGAGCACCAAGTGCCGTGCCTGCCACGCAAAAGAGTGTGTGAGGGTGAGCGTGTGAGTGAGTGTGAGTGAGTGTGAGTGAGAGTGAGTGAGTGAGCGAGCGAGTGAGTGAGTGAGGGAGTGGGAGTGGGAGTGGGAGTGGGAGTGGGAGTGGGAGTGGGAGTGGGAGTGGGAGTGGGAGTGTGAGTGTGAGTGTGAGCGTGAGCGTGAGCGTGAGTGTGAGTGTGAGAGTGAGAGTGAGAGTGAGAGTGAGAGTGAGAGTGAGAGTGAGAGTGAGAGTGAGAGAGAGAGAGTGAATGAGTGAGTGAGTGAGTGAGTGAGTGAGGGAGGGAGGGAGGGAGGGAGGGAGTGCGTGTGAGTGAGTGAGTGAGTGAGTGAGTGAGGGAGGGAGGGAGTGAGTGAGTGAGTGAGTGAAGGAGGAGGACGGGAAGGAGGAGGCGCGGACACAGAACTAAAAACAAAAACCCCACACGTCAATGTGGGGAACAAAAGCCGGAGAAAATCCAGACCTTTCTTCGTATAGTTTCCGGCAAGTTTGCAAAATTGGTCCGTAAAGTTGCAGCCAGATGCCCAAAATACCAGCCCGGCACAGTAGCCAAAGCAAGACACAATAAGCAAAGACGGATGGCACCGCAAAAAGAGGACATGCTGCAAGTTCAGGAACAAAAACCAAGGGTTTCAGCCAGGTTCCAGCAAGGCTCCTGCCTTCGAGGGAATGCAGCAAGGGGTTGCAGCAAGGTTTCAACAGAGTTTCAGCGAGGTTCCAGCACAATTCGAGCACAGTTTCAGCCAGGTTGCAGCCGAGTTCTGGCACAGTACCAGGAGAGTTTCAGCCAGGTTACAACAAGGAATTTCGGTAAGGCACGAGCAACTTTCCAGCAGTGTTCCGGCTATCCCCGCCATGCATTTTCCTGCCTTTGTTCCCCGCCCCAGAGATTGAAACCCAGGAGAATCCTCCTGGAAATAATTCGGTCCACGCGAGAGCTTATAGCACATTATGACTTTAAGCTTTCATTGCGCGCGAAGAATTTGAGGGACATTTATTCATGGTCGTTTTCGTCTTTATATATAGTATCAATATCGCAGGAAATTCAAGAAACATACTCGATCATTGTATGAATGAGATGTGCAACAGCACCTCAAGAAACTGGCAAAGGTGTGTGTGTGTGATACTGAGTTGCTTGCTTTCTCGGAAGCCAGCTTCGAAGCAGGGTATAGTGCCCTGCGCCGCTTCCTTCCCCGTCAAGGCTCAGGCCGTAGTTCACGGCAAAACCCACGGGGCCCTCACCAAACACGTAGGGTGGCGAGTCCGCATCCTCTGGTAGCACCAGAATGGCGCACCCAAAGGACTTGGCGCAGAACACCAGCTCCTCGTGTCCTGGATTCCGGCCGGCATTCAGATGCTGGCCTAGCTCTTGCTTGCCGTCGTCCTTCAGGGCCTGGACGGCTTTGGCTCGGAGCTTCTGCGCGGCTGCCTTGTACTTGTCCTCTACTTTTTTCGCTTTGAAAAAACCTAAGTAGTCCCTTCGTTGTCCTTGCCACCAGCTTGGGGCTTGGGCTGCCAAAAAACAGTAGAAGAGACACAGTCCGTCAGGCGGGACTTGGAGCGTCCCCTGGTTCCATGTGGACGGCCCCACAACCTCCGGGATTCCACAACTTGTCTTCGCTCTGCGCGGCCACCCACCAACGGAACGCCAGTGGCCTCTACACTTTACGCTCCACACTATACACCCCACACTCTACACTTTACACACCACGCGTTATACACTACACTTGACACTCCACACTCCACACTCTACACTTTACACACTACACTTTACACTCTACGCTCTTCACTCTACGCTCCATACTTTACACTTTACACTCCTCATTCCTCACTGCACACCTTACACTCCACACTCCACACTTTACACTCCACACTTTACACTCCACGCTCTACACTTTACACTCTACACTTTACACTCTACACTCCAGACTCCACACTCCACACTTTACACACTAGAGTTTACACTCTACACTTTACACTCCACACCGCACACTCTACACTTTACACACTGCACTTTACACTTTACACTCTTCACTCTACACGCCATACTTTATACGTTACACGTTACACTCCTCACTCCTTACTGCACACTTTACACTCCACACTCCATACTTTACACTCCACACTCTACACTTCACACTCTACACTTTACACTCTACACTCCACACTTTACACTTTACACTTTACACTCCATACTCCACACTGTACACTCCACACTCCACACTCTACACTTTACGCTCCACACTCTACACTTTACATTCTACACTTTACACTTTCCACTTTAGACTTTACACTCCACTCCACACTCTACACTTTACACACTACACTCTACACTCTACACTTTACACTCCACACTCTACACTGTACACACTACACGTTATACACTCAACGCTCTTCACTCTACACTCCATACCTTCCACTTTACACTTTACACTCCTCTCCCACCGCCAGGCATCAGCACCCATCTGCCACCTTCACCCTGCGGGCTCCTTTGCTTCCCAGCAGCTACCTAAAAGAGCCTCACTCCACATTGCCTGCCCAAGCCACGCCCTTTCTTCCCTCCAATCTAACCATGTGCACCGCCAGCCACGCACCTCCCCCCAAACATCAGCAGCCATTGGCAACCTTCACTATGTGGGCTCCTTTGCTTCCCAGCAGCCACCCAATAAAGCCTCGCCCCAAAGAGCCCGCCCAAGCCACGCTCTTGTCCCTCCAACCTTCCCCCCATCGTACACCCCGCCCCGAAACTCCAATCCGTCCCTTTTATTTTTTCCTCCCATTCCCTCTCTTCTTCCATTACTCTTTCCAAGTTTTTCCATTGTTCTGTTATGCTTTGACTCCATTTTTGCATCCCTTTACCCTCCATTCCACTCACCCCAAATGCACGTCGGAGGACGGACCAGGGGGGAATCGAACCCCACCGTCACCCAATTGCCACCTGGTACATCAGCCTCAAAATCGATCACCATGGCCACCCTAATTAGGTGGGGAAGTGCCTCAAAATTGTCTGTTTGGAGACGACCACCCCCCAGACCCTATTCTCACTTCGTTCGCAATGAGCAACTTCGCCATGCTTGACTGCTGGCTTTCGTAATAAGCTCCCGAACCGGACGAACCGGAGGGAGGAACCGGAGGCGAACCGCCGGCATGTGCTCTGTTTTTTTTCTCTCAATCAGGCGTTCCCTTTAATTTCTGCCCTCCTATTGGATTTGCTTTTTTGGCAACCCCAAAAAAACAAAAACACAACCCTTGTGCCCTCCTATTGGATTTGCTTTTTTGGCAGCCCCAAAACAGCAAAAAAAAACTTGTGCCCTCGTATTGGATTTGTTTTTTCGAAAGCCACAAAAAAGAAAAAACACAGCCCTTATGCAAAGCACAAGCACAACCCTTGTGCTCTCGTGTTGGATTTGCTTTTTTGGCGGCCTAAAAAAAACGAAAACAGCCTCTATGACCAGGTCCTGGCCTGGCGTTCCTCTTCCACCTGACGCAACGTGTCCTTGACATGAATCATACCAACCAACCAACTAACTGGGAACATGTTTTGTTTTTTTTGAAAGGCCGTAAAAAGCAAATACCAAGACCATGACTTACTCCGAACCGGTTAGGAACCGGAAACCAAACCGGTTAGGAACCTAAACCGAACCGAACCGAACCGAACCGTTTTTTTGATTATATCACCAGGAACCGAACCGAACCGGGAACCGGAAATTCACCAGTTCCTGGAAAACGAAACCGAACCGAACCGATCCCACCCTGGAGTGTAGTGAGAGCTCGATTTCACAAAAAATCGGCAAAAACTGGCATGTTCGGAGCATTTTTGAAATGAGGTCGGCAAAATGTGCACCAGACTGTAGTGAACAGCGAGACTTCGATTTCACATAAAATTGCAGAAAAAAACACCATGCCCGGAGTAGCGCGGAATCGTTCGCATTGCCAGCGCTGGGCGAACGTTGGTCGATTCAGCGCGACGCTCCTGCTATGCGGGTTTGCTACCTTGTCTGACAGCAGCCATTGGCACTGCTGCGCGCGGCAAAGCATGAGTGATGCCGCGACGCTCCTGGCAAGCGAAATTGCAACTGGAGGTTGCTAATCAAATTGTAACAGTGCCCCAAAGGTCCAAAGGTACTTCTTGACCATAGTGCTACTCTTGTGCTATTCCGTATTCCAGCTGCAGGCTGCTAAACGCATTGCAACAGCTGCGCGAAGAGAGGATCAAACGAGCCAGTTGGGAGGCAGCTCAGAGCAGAAGTAGCCCAGATAAGTGGCTGCTCGGAGAAGAAGTAGCTGAGAGAAGAGTGCCTCAGCGAAGAGGTCGCTCAGTGAAGAAGTAACTCAACAAAGAAAAGTAGCTCGCACATCCATCCATCCCTCCATTCATTCATCCATCCATCCATCCATCCACCCCTTCATTCATTGGTTCATTGATTCATGGCTTCATGGATTCATGGACCCACTGATTCATTGGTTCATTGGTTCATTGAATTGATTCATTGATTCATCGACTCACTGACTCATTCACTCAGTCACTGACTCACTGATTATCTTCTCACTGTCACTAGTTCACTCGTGCATTGATTCATTCAGTCACTGGTCCATCTATTCATTCATGTGTTCACTGCTTCATTGGCTCACTGAGTCATTGTTGGTTCATTGATTCATCTACTCACTACTTCATCCATTCATTGATTCACTGGTTCATTGATTCATCGATTCACGAAATCATTCATGCATCGATTCATTGCTTCATTGTTTCACTGAAGCCTCGATTCACTGATTCATTGGTTCATTGAATCATCGATTCATTGATTCGTTGATTCATCGGTTCACTGGTCCACTGGTCACTCAGTTGTGCTCGGATTCTTTCATGTCATTTCACTGGCATCTCAACCACCATTTACTCATTCGTTGATGCACCTCACAACTTCAACCGCTCATGGTTTCTGCATCTCAAAAACGTTCCTATAGGCCATGGATTTCCTATAGATATTTCCTATGTGCGAAACTTCCGCCCCGGCGCGTGCCGGGCACTGGGTAAAAAAAATAATGCACAAAGCATTCATTCCAATCAAGGTGTTGTCTCACTATGTCTCATTCACTTCCAAGAAACGTCAAGAGAATATCATGCAAGTGGGGCATATGCGGCGTATTCGGGACGTTTGATTCCTGTGAGGAGCGGCGCAGCAGATCCTGTGCTCCAGCACGAAGCTTTTGCCACTCCTCCAATGACACAATGGTATTGCACGACTTGATACGACTTCCATGTTGGCTGTTCAACGGCGGGCTACTTGCACTGAAGCCAAGCTGATCAAGCTGCACTGGAAAGAAGCAACATCCACTTGTCACAGTTTCAGGCAGCTGTCCCTGGTCTTGGGGATCTTTGAGATTCATTCCAATATACAACACTTCAGGCAGAGCATACATGCTGCATACAACAGTGAACGCTGTGCGATCTCCTCTACAGCTGTCTTCGGCGCAGCAGACAGGCGCTGCCCACCACCACTGAAGATCACTTGAGAACTGCGCAGAAAGCGCTGCAGCCGTTCCTGATGTCGTACCAGAAAGACCCAGAACTAGCAGAAAGATGCAGAAAGCAAATCAAAGCTCGAGCTCACTCGGGCTTTGATTTTGAATGATTAGGTTCTGTTAGGTTTGCCAATGTCTGTATTGCAAAGGTCACCGGGACCCAAAAAAGTAGTATGGCCAGAGATCTAAAGGGCCTAGTCTTGTTGGCTTCCTTGCGCCCTTGGATCAAATTCACACGAGGATGGCCGCTGAAGACCTCTTTCAATTTATAAACGGTCAGATCGATCAGTATGATCAATGAATATCGACGGGCTGTCCTTGTTGTCTTCCGTTGGCATTGAATGATACAGGATCAGAAGAGCCTGCCATTGCTGCCACCGGCCAAATTACTTGGGCATGTCATGTCACACCGAAAGGTATCTCTGGAAAGTCAACGGGTGCCCGCGGGTACCTGTGCATGGTCCTTGGCATTGATCCAGGTGAATTGCCCAACCCTTCGCACAAACATCTCCTCCATCTTGGCAATGGCCATCTGGCGCAGGCAGCTCCCCTCCCTGGACTCATGAGTCTGGAAAAAAAATCAACGAGACCTCAAGACATCTCAAGACATCTCAAGACTAGCAGAAGTTTGCAACAAGTACATGCAAGTGAGTGAAGCGATCTTTCAAAGCACCATTATATACTTCTGTTGATATGTTTTGAAAGCGTACCGTCCCATTCTATGAATTTCTATATGAATTTCTATGTAGTTCTACCGTGACTGGAAACTTGAGCGAGAAAGCTTGTCGTTCGCCTCAGGATCACCAGATACGAGATATGCTCGGGCATAGGCGTTGTAGGATGATTCAATGGGCTTGACCTGACAATGGATGAGTGTTTGACATGTTTGACTTGTATGTACTGTATGGCACATATTGGCACATTGCCATCCCAAGAAGGGTCTCAAGTCCGAAATTCCTGAAAGTCTCTCTGACCAGACTCAAATTCCAGGCCAAGCAGCTCGCTTTTGCACAACCATCTTCTTCCAAATCGCATCAGCCCGAGCTGGATCGTGCCGGTGTCCCGCCAGGTCCACCAAAGCTCCTAGCAGAACTGGACTCAAGTGCTCGTCAAAGTCCAACAAACGGTCCACCTCCGAGAAGTCTCCGTATCTCCTTAGTGAATCCAGCCATCAGCTTGCTGCAACTTGCTGTAGCTTGCCATTGTGATTATAGTTTTTTAAATACCATTTCACGTTACTATATCACGATGTTTCATTCACCACACGTGAACTTACAGCCTACAAATAGGCCTTTTGCATGGGACGATGAATGCTGAGAGGTGTTCCATGCAAGAACCATGCCTTTAAGGCACATGACCATCCAAATTGAGAATGGAAATGCATAATCTAAAGTCTTGCAGGGATAGAGATGACATGCTTAGAATCAAGAGCTCCTTTTCCCTTCTCTTTATGAACTTTATGAGGCTAAGCATCTCCAGCATGGTAATGTAAGCCGAATAGACAATCGAGTTTTTCTCAATTCCTGCAATCCGGGCAGCGTCATTTCAAAGGAAATCCTACAGGCGCAGTCTAGGTACAGTATGTGTGTGTGTGTCATTGTGTATCACGTATCATTGTGTATCTTCCGCATTTGTACAGTTGTCCCATTTCAATCCATTTCAACAAAGACCATCCTTGAGTCAACCTCAACTCAGCTGCCGTGCCAAAGGTGCGTCAGCCCGTCCTGACTCGGTCTCTTGCCAAAGCTGTTGTCCCCACTGCCACGCAGCTGGGCACTCCAATTGAGTGCACAGCTTCAATGCACTGGTGAGCACCACAGCGTTGATCACCCCCTGAGCAGAGAGGTGAAAGATAGTGAAAGTGCGAATTCAGAGAACCTGATCGAAAAAACGAAAAGAAAAAAACCGCTGACCAGCTTAGCCGCCCTTATAGAGATTCGGGTCTTGTTTGCTGCACTGTATCCTGCTTCGGTATTGACATGCGTTCTGAGTAGCAGGGTGCCGCCAAATAGCCGAATAGCTACTTGGAACATCATATAGAACTTTTAAAACAGTTTGAAGCTACATTGTCGCAGCATATAGCAGCCCTTGCGGGCTAGCCTCCTGCCACAACTCCTTGGCCATGGTCAGTGCTGGCTCTTTTCGTTCTTCAAGCACATCAAATAGCCCCTCGTTCCTCCGGTCAGATTTATCAGGAAAGGAGTTGCTTAGAAAGGAAAAAGTGCCCGCAAGGAGTTGCATGTACAGTAAAAAAATGGAAAATACGAACCTTAGAAGACAGAACAATTAGATACAATTAGTTCATCTTTTTAGTGCCTTTTCGTTCAGGAAAAAGAACTGCATGAAAACCTGATCAAGCCAATGAACCTGAATAAAAAACAAGTTGAGCATCCACTGTGAAGCTACCATCTGGCACAAAATTCATAATAGAAACCTGATCTGTATAGACGAATCTAGAAGATGTCATCGTGAAGCACAAAAAACACATCGACACAACAGTATATAATGAAATTCATAGAGCACGTTTGCCCAACATGTCACTGGGCGTTCTCAAGCTCTGCATGAGCTTCTTTGCAGATCGCATCTATGTGTTTTGGATTCTTACATCTTTGATCCATCTTGTATGTTCAGACATCTGGCTTGAGTTCTAGTCTAAGGGGGCACAAGTTCTCACAGTCGTTTTTTCCCAATCAGCAGGATCAGCATCTGTCCTGAGATTCCAAGTGATGGCTGTTAGGCCAATTGAAGTAGCCACAGCGTCAAATTTGATGGCGTTCTGCAGTTGGAGTTCGCGAACTTTCTGCAGAGTCATCCACCAACACCTGCCAGGCTGCACGATGGCTGGACAGTTGGACAGCAAAACCAAGGCTGTGCTGTGTCCACCACGTCCACCACGTCCCCTCACACCCAACCGTGTCCAGCCTGTAGCCGCAGGTTTGCATCGCCGCTCCGAAGATGCTGCTCTCCCGAATCCCCTCGAACCTTAGCGGCTAGCTGAGCTGCCATACACTGCACAGCTTTGCACAGCTTGGCACAGCTTGGCACAGCTTGGCACAGCTTGGCACCCGTGCAAAGCGTTCTTGAGCATTGTCACAAGTCCTTCAGGGCTCCTGATCCGAAAATCAAGCACAAGCAGAAAATGAAGAAACAACAGAAGAACAAACAAACAATCACAGTGGTGCCAGAAAACATAGCTAAATGATGCTGAATGCTTATATAATGATGCCAGGATGAATCTAGTATCCAGAGTCAACACTCCCAACTAGTAAAAAAATGTCCCCCTTTAATCTGACCTGTGACCGTCTGGCTATTGGGAGCCATTTCAGTTCACGCGCAGAGCATGCTTTTCACACTTTTCTTGAATATGTCCCCAACCCAGAGGGAGAAATTGCAACATGTGGATGCACATCGATACCAATTCGATACCCAGCCTGCAGCGTTTCAGCAGGGCTCGAAGTTCTTGCGACTTTCTGGAGTCAGAGCGGTGCTCCTGGCTTGATCAGCTAAGCGAAGCCAGCGCTGCTCATTTCAGTTCGTTGCAAATTTCTTCTGGAAAATATCTATGATTCATTATGATTCCACTCTACCGTCTCCATCAAATCTTGGTTCTCAATCCAAAACCTTCCACATCAAAGCTGGTACAGTAAGAGATACTAAGAGATACTAAGAGATACTAAGAGATACTAAGAGATACTAAGAGATACTAAGAGTACGTATGTTCAAAGCTTCAAATATCTCCCCGTCAAACCTCCAGCCTCTGTTGTTTCTGCAGGTTCTGCGGGCATGCTTAGAAACTTTGAGACTCCTTGGACAGCGCACGGCTGGAAACATTGACGTGTAACGTTCTCCAACACCAAGCATAGCCCAAACATGCGGAAATGATCAAATGACAGTTTAAAACATATATGTAAAAACAATTAAAAAAAAACAACGAGGATAGACATGTCGAAATCAAAGAGGCCGAAAGAAAGCCAAAATCAGATTTCACCCCGCCAAATCATTGAACAAGTTGAGAAAATTACGAAATGGCACTACACATGACGAGAAGGTCAAAAGATGTCAAAAGGTCACCTCACGAAGGACACTTTCATACACTTTTTGATTGGTTGCCCTTTGATTCCTTGAACATCCTTGAACTAGCTTCTGAGTTAGTTGTTTTCTGCTTTTTTACACGACATGGATTCGTGTGAAGAGTCTGTAAGTCATGGTAAACAAAGCCAATCAGGATAATCAGGAAACTTCTTCCAAAAGCTAGGTGGGAACTTGTAGAAGAGCTGAGCCCCATGCTGGAAAAGGCCGTGGCCTGCCTGAGATCTTCCTGCAAGCATTGAGGCGGAGTGGAAAATCCAAGCTCGTCCTTTTCGAAGGGATTCTAGAGATGCGTGTTATGGGATAGCACTTCATCAATCGCATAGGTCTCATTTACTTCAACATCTTTGTCGCTTGTGTTGCCTTTCTTCCCTCCTCTGCAAAATTAACTCTCAGACTCCAATCATTTTTCTCTCCAGTTTTCAGCTTAAGGGCACCATATGTTTTGTCCCTCCCTTTCTCGGGACGTGAGGCGAGTCTGGCTGCGTCTGCGTTTTCTGCACCTTGGGCCGCTGCAGCATTCGCAGCCGTCGCGCTGCAGGCACTTCCATGGGTCTGGAATGCGCACGCTGCGCAACCTGCACCGCCCTCGCCGCCCTCGCCGCCCTCACCACCGCCATGGCCATCACGCCATCGCGCCAAGGCTGCCACTGCCATGGGTGCCATGGGTGCCATGGGCCTCCTGAAAGACCTGCAAACACTGCAAACGACCACACGTCGTCTACATAGGTCCTGACAAACGTCAAGTCTATCGCGCTACCACCGTGAACCTAACTGGTTTCTGACCCAACATGACCAAACGTGACCCAAGCCTGGCTCGAACAGGCCTTTCAAGCCACCTTGCACTGGCTGAGCAGGAATGGACAAGGCTGCCGGTCGACATGGCTTCATTCAACTGATCAGAAAGTTGAAGTTGATGCAGGCAAGACTGGACACAAGATGCCAGGCTTTTCAAGTGCCGGGATTATTTCTTAACATGGCTCAAATCAATTCCATACCAGTTAGAACTTGGCAAACCTCATTTCATCGTGGAGAATATTTCGTTGCGGAAATGCGTGCGAATTCAGTAGTTCTGCCATGCAAGCTGCTCAGTACAAGTGTCAGCATTCCTGTGAGCATTCCCACTTGAGAGTCTCATTCATGGCTCTATGAAACTTGAGGCTGAGGGTGATGCCACATTTTCACTTCACGCTGAGTCAAATCTTGAAAGTTTCGCATTTGGGAGTCCATAGATGTCCACAGACTTCACGATCAATCACCCGATCACAATCTGCATGCATCAATCTCTTGGGTCTCCAAGCCAAAGTGGCCAGCAACACCAAAGCCAATGGCGAACGCCTCCTTAGTAAAATAGCAGATCATAGCAGCCTGATCTCTTGGATCTCTTGGGTCAATCTTTTTCTTGATCGGGAAGAAATGCCTTGTGTTTGAAAAACTCTGAACAAGAACCTAAGCTGGATGAATTCCCAAAAATTTCAAGAGCACCTCTCTGCGTTAAGCATCTCCCAACATCTCCCAACATCTCCCAACATCTCCCAACATCTCCCAACATCCTCTCTGCACCGTTCTGCACTTCACAGCTCTTCTCAGCCCAGAGTCGTCATCGTCACAGGCACGGCTTGGTCCCTCAAGACTCGGTCTGCAAAAATGGGCTGCAGAGGCTGTGGCTTCAGCAAAAGACTGAGAGGTTCAGAATGGAGACGACAAAAAAATACGAAAAAGCTGCCAAATTGATCCGAATTGATCAAACTTTGAACTTTGTTCGAACATGTTGGACAATGCCATCAAAATGCATGCAGAATGCTCCCAATGATGCTTGTCAGGACCCTGTCAGAAGCATCAACAAACAGAAAGCTGACTTTGTAGATTCATTGATTCCTCTCGATTAAATGTGACAAGTACCTCGACCAATGTGGTTAATTTGGCAGGGCAAAGCAGACAGCTGTTTTATTCACCGCTGTACCAGAGGATGCTCATTCGGGCCCCGCAGCCACCTTGGGAAATGCCACAAAGCGATCCCGCATTGTCCACGGTTGAAGACAAACGCTTTGAAAGCCTATTTTGGGGTGATAAAAAGGGCTACCGTCAATGGACTGTATGATTCAAGCCAGAGAGGAAAGTGTGACTGCATATCGCGGCAACCGCCCGTGACCAGCGCTAGCCGCTGCTAGCCTGTTTCACTGTAGAAAGGGCAAGTTGTTCAGGCCATTTCAGGCTGTTTTCTTGGGTGCTGAGTCACAAGCAGCGCGAGTTGTAACCTGCAGCAAGCTCTGAACTTTGAAAGGTATCTCGCTCCCAGCAGAAGGATACAACATGATACAAGAGAACATGAAAGTTTGCTTTGGAGAAAACTAAGCTATCTATCTTATCTTCGCAATTCTTCACATACGTGCGTCGGAGGCCTCTGATCGATCACCCTGAGACCAAGAAACTTGCCGTAACGAGCTATCACCCTGGCATGGCCTCTGGCCACTGAATAGCCCCATCCGGTTGGAGAGCCATCAACTCCTTGTCGCTCACATAATCAAAACTCCAAACACTCAGTGTCTGATGGTGGCAAAAATCGTCGAGACTTCAAGATCAAGTCAGAAAGGATTTCAATGATTTTGATGGATTTTGGATCGCCAAAAAAGGGTTTCCTGGGTAATCTCAGTGCAAACCGAGTACAATCTTGTGACGGCCTCAAGCCACCAGTCCTGTGGTGGGTCTGGTGGCACAGGTGGCAGCGGAGCATCAGGATCGAAATCTTCATCCTGGAAGAGACAGCCACTTGAGAAGATTATGCAAATGTGAGGCAAGCAGACAGGATTCCCACAATGATTATATAATATTATATACAATATACATATTATCTATCTATACGTACGTATGTATATATATATATACGTATATAAATAACACGTATCATATGTATGCTGGTTCGTCAACCTGTCTTCTTCTGTCATTGGTTGATAAATCGTGGTTGAGGGTGTGCCGCTTCTTGTTTATCTAAATGGTCTGAAAGCCAGCATGTTATCTTTCATGTTTGAAACCGCATCTCTATGAAACCTGCAGGAAATGCTAGTGGCTCTGCTAGCACGCATCTATTTAGAGTGAGTGCTGCTGCTAATCTTTGAACTGGAAATACTCGTTCGACATCTTCCGACCACTTTTTGTTTCTTCTTCTTCTTCCTCCTCCTGTTCTTCCTCTTCTTCCTCTTCTTCTTCTACTGCAGAGCTTGTCGTTGCCTTTGCTGTCATTGTTGCATTTGTCCAAAGGATAAAATAAACTACTAAGCCGCTTTTGCAACTTTTGTTAGCTGATCGCCAGCGTGGATCCAATGAGAAAATTACGCACCAATTTGGGAAATTGAAAACAACAATGAAAATCCCGGAAAATTGTTGAGAGGCACAGAAATTCAGCAAGAGATACTTGGGTTTAAGGCACCAAGTGCAGCATCTCAACTTTTCATGTGCTCTGCATCTCGGGTGATCCCCCCACATCCAATCAGGTGTACTGAGTACAGCATCAACCATACAAGGGTGTGGAAATGTGTGGAATGACCGCAGGTATCATGTTACAAATGTTACAGGAATCATTCCATTGCAAAATCCTCCGGGTCTGGTGGGATGTAGTCCCAATCGCCGCTGAAGTCAGGAGGTGGTCCTGAAATTACAGGCTCAACTGGGCAATGCCAAAACAAAAAGGCCTCGAGGTTCTGATCACAAGAATGATCAGAGGTTCCAATGTGATATTTCATCACAGATATGTATGGTGTTACGGTGTGTTATACTGTTTTACAGTGTGTGGTTTGGCGAGCAAACCATGAAGGGTTCCCAGGTCAAGGTTTAGCTAAGCTGAGGACCTGGGAATGGTCCAAGTCCTTCTACGTACATAGTCACCTCGCAGGACAATTCATGAATAATGTGTGCTAACATAATATACTAATAATTAGTTCCAGTAATTAATAATATCATCTATAGTTACGGACTGAAACTTAGAGTGGGTGGTCCGGTTTCCAAAATTTTAACCCTTGACTTAGAATGAGGGCAGTTAGAATGACCGGTCATCACACCAAAAACCGCTATCCCAAACTTAGAATGACTGGACATCATACAAAAAATGCCATCCCAAACGTGATTAAGTGCAAAAAAAATGTAGAAAAAACGCAGGAAACCCTACATTTCAAGGTAGAATCCTGGTATGCTACACTTGCCCACGTTTTGTCGTTTTTTTTTCAAGGTTCTCCACACAGAAAGGATTGGTTGTAAATAACTTTAGACTGTTTGCACAGCACATGTGGCAAAAAAAGACCATGCCAAGCCACTAAAATTCCGCTTCATGCATTAAAACTTTCTCAAAAAAACAATTGTTTGTAGCAATGGTCTTGAAGTTTTGATGCCAGAGATCTAGGTACGAAAACACTTGTTCGAAAGCTATGACAGGAAAACCGCAAGGAAACACAAAACCAGTAAAAACCAGAGGTAAACAAAGAATGCCTATCAAAAAAAACGAAGGGAATTTTGCAACACCAGTAAAACGCCGGAGCCCATTTCAGGACTGTGCATTGCAGGACAGCATTTGTCATCTCTTTTTGCCAATCAAAAAACCAGAGCTACACATAGTATGCCTACGAAAAGAAGCTTCTTTTTGCAACACTCCCCTGTGAGGAGAAGAAACTTAGAATGACCGCCTATCATGGCATCAAGGCATGTTATTTTTTCATGCTTTATATCGTCTCGTGAAGAACGGACGGGCCAGAGGTAAATTTAGAATGCTTATGCAGAGCAAATGTTACAAAAAGGGGCATGCTGAGCCACTAACATTCCGTGCCAAAGTTCATGCACTAAACCAATGTCAAAAGACTAGTGTCTGTAGTGGTGGTCTTGAAACCTGATGCTGGAGATCCAGGTAAGAAAACATTGTTTGAAGATGTTCGAAGGTTTTGAAAGAAAAATTGCCAGGAACCACAAAGCCAGTCACAAAAAAAACGAAACCAAAACCGAGCTGAACAGGCTCGTTTCTCAAAGCTCTGCAAAGCAGGGCATCTATTTTTGCAACACTCCCCTGTGACAAGAAGAAACTTAGAATGACCACCTATCACTGCATCAAGACATGTTGGTTTTGCACAGCTTATATGTTTTTTTGGCCCTTTTTTCCATGGTTTTCCACGCAAAAGTGATGGGACAGAGGCAAACTTTGAATGCCTACGCAGAAGATGTGACAAAACATACTTTGCTGAGCAGCATTCCGTGCCAAGGTTCATGCATTACAACAATTTCAATGTAGCAATGGTCTTCAAGTTTCATGCCGGAGATCTAGAATGGAAAACAACATGTTCGAAAACTTGGAAAGGAAAACCGCAAGGAAACACAAAGCCAAGAAAAAGAAGTAAACATAGAATACCTCCGAAAGAAAGCTTGCCAAAGGAAATCTAAAAGGAACCGCAATGCCAATACCCAGCTGAACAGGTTCGTTTCTCAATGCTTTGCATAGCAGGACAGCAGTTGTCATCTTTTTTTGCAACACTTCCCTACGAGAAGAAACTTAGAATGACCACCTATCATGGCATCAAGGCATGTTGTTTTTGCACACTTTATATTGCCTTTTGAAGAATGGACGGACCAGGGGCAAATTTAGAACGCTTACTGAGCAGATGTGGCAAACAGGGCCATGCTGAGCCACTAACATTCCGTGCCAAAGTTCATGCACTAAACTCACTAAAGCAATATCAAGAGACTACTGTCCGCCCAGCTTGATGCCGGAGATCCAGGTACGAAACGACTGTTCGAAAACTTTTAAAGGAAAATTGCCAGGAACCACGTAAAGCAGGAACCCAACATCCAGCTGATCAGGTTCTTTTCTCAAAGCTTTGCTAGTAGCACAGCAGATGTCACCCCTTTTTTTCCCA